TGTCCAAATTAAACGTCACCCCACTCACTGTAGCATTTGTATTGAAATATTAGTAACATAAGCACTTTAAGAATAGTGTTGTGAATGACGAATAGCATAATCAAGTTAATTAACCTAGGGAAGTAATGTAATAAAATGTCAGCATAACTTCGTCAACCTAGTACAGTATTATAGTGAAATACTAATGGCATAATTACATTAACTAACCTTGGGCAGTAAGGTTGTAAAATACCAAATGCAAAGCGTCGTTAACCTAGTACAATGTTATAGTGAAAACTTAATAGCATAACTGCGTTAATTAACCAAGAACAGTATTGTAGTGAAATATGAATAGCATAAATAAATTAACTGACTTATTGTTTGAAACGTCATATGCTGATAAAAGTGCTTTTTGTTATGATTTGCTACACCAAAAACGCGTGGCCCTAATATCCTATGGCTAGTTTGATTTAAATAAAATATGGTACTACTAGTTGATTAATAAGATATTATAGTGTAAAATAGGCTCAGCATAACCGCACCGCCCCAATTAATTAAACTTTGTTTGTTAATTAAGGTACTAAACACGTATAGTAAAACTATCTGTAATGTACAGTAACTTGATTGAACCAGTATGCTATGTCTGTTGTATCCTAGCCGGTCAAAACAACCTTGGTATCAGGAGAAAGGCCTCTTCGGCACTAGATATAGATTAACAAATAAAATTTGGTTGACATATCATTTTTCACTCCATCTCACTTTCACAAAAAAACTCTCATTAATAATTTTGTTAGTAATTAAAGCTCTGCCTGACTTTACTAACAATAGCTTTAACGTTAAATTACTCTACACAGGACTGAATTGTACTGTTACAGCAGATTAAACATTCGATTAATTAATAAAACTATAGTTTAATTTGCTAACAAGAGTGTTCATACAAACTTACTCTATTACAGCAGTACTGAATTGTATTGTTACAGCAGAATAAACATTCTATTAATTAATATAGGTATAACTTAATTTACTAATAAGAAAGTTCACACTAACTCTATTACAGCAGTACTGAATTGTATTGTTACAGCAGAATAAACATTCGATTAATTAATACAGCTATAACTTAATTTACTAATAAGAAAGTTCACACTAACTATATTACAGCAGTACTGAATTGTATTGTTACAGCAGATTAAACGTTCGATTAATTAATATAGCTATAACTTAATTTACTAATAAGAAAGTTCACACTAACTATATTTTAAATCCATTTGGAGCTTTAATAATTAATCGAACGTTTAATCTGCTGTAACAATACAATTCAGTACTGCTGTCATCAATAATGTTAACTTGAAAATAAACTTACAGGTAGAATTACAACACTAAAGTTGGTGTTCCTCCAGCCTGCAAGTTTCTTTTTACGTTAACGCATTCCACGTTTAAATTACATTAAAACAATAACACTAACTTACTCAATGCAGTAACGGCAGATTAAAAGTTAGTTATTAAAACTTTAAACGAACTTGCAAATAATAAATTTAATCTTTAGTGAAATTAAGATAAAAACAAATTAAACGTTCATTAACCTTTCACATTATATCGACATGCATACAACAGACGACTTATGTTTTACTTGCTATACTAGAACTTTTAGCGGTGAATAAAATATTAGATCACTTACAAATGCATTTTAAATTTATTTTGCTTTCAATACATCGAACATTATTATTAATGAGACTAATTCATATGCTACTAGCGTAGACAACTAATTGTATTTACCACATTATACAGGAGATAGCAGGTGTAATACTAGCATATGTCTATCCTGTGCTAACACGTAAGCGTAAACTTCTTGTTACTCTCCCCAGCAGAAGTAAATTACTAGAAAGACACAACTTTAGATTTAACGTTTCGTTACTCTGCGAAGTGATATTAGTTAAAGTATCTGGATTAGCTTACTCACTGTCACACTTCAGAAGCTGAAACGCTAGGATCAGATTTAACTTAAGTTAATTTGTAAATCAGTTTACGTGATTGATATACAGGCAGCTGATCTCGTGCAAACTTACTAATTACCTCACAAATTAACATTCTAACAGCTAAAAGAGCGTTGATTTGCTTATTGAAGTACTTACCTGACACGTAATCATCAGAGTGAACTTCAGCTGTTGCCGTGATTTATAAATACACACGCTAGCGACCGATTAAACTATTGAACCATTGCGGAAGAGAACCACAATCAAATTTAAGTCACGTGATTATCAACATTATGTGGGATGTTAAGAACAGTTTAAAGTAGAATAGCTCTCGCATTTTACTTGCAATAGTAACAAACTTAGAAGCAAAACAAGTGTTCGACGATCTAACTGCTAGTTATTAATAAGTGCTTTAATCGGTGTAGAAACATTCAAGGTAGCATTGGGAAGATGTTGTTTTTATTGTAAACATCAAACGTCATGTAAGAGTTATGTACAATATGTATTGCTACAAAACTCAGTGACTCATAGAAACTTTATCACTCAGTGCTTGTAATATGTATAGGTTACAAAATTAAATAATATCGCTTATAAGATTTATGTAACTAATGTATTAAGAGTTAGTCTTCTCTTCTCCATACATATGAATTACACAAACTTTTCTATATAAAATTGTGTTGAATAAATAACATAACTGATCAACAAAAAGGAGTGTCGTCTAGTGAAATATCTTTCAGTTAAAACCGTGTTGATATTAAGTTTATGAATATGCACTGAATTCGTGCAGCCACTTCTAAGCTACTGTAGATCCTTTATTCTTGCAGTTTACTGTTTAATTTTTAAACTGTTGTCTAAATAAGTCATCATTTTGTAAAGTGTTATTTTGAAATGTTGGTTTAGTATAATTTTAGCATTATGAAATTAGAAAATGAAAAACTTTTGTTTTTTCTCTTTGATTTTTATATACTAATGAACTGAAATGTGGGTATTTCGCCAGTAGTAATAAGATTTGTTTCAATACTGATCTGATAACTGATATATGAGATATCTGCCTTAAAAGGTGTTTTAAAGTAGAAATAATCAAAACTACAGCATCGCATTAACAAAAATTCTCTTTATGTTAAAACTTATGCAAGATATCATAAGAAATTCATTCCAACGTAAGACGTTATTACTTTAAGAAGTATAATTTTTAAGTATTTGTTCCATGAATATTAAACAGATATATAGTTTAACTTGTATACAGAATATCCAATTTTATTCATGTTCTCTGACTTATAGAAAGAATATTAATACTAAATATAATTTTTTGTCAGTCTTCAGGATTAAGTAATCTCGATAGTTTTATGTTTTTATAAATATAAAAGTTTATAATAATAAAATAAACAATAAACTGAATCTAATTTACGAAATATGGAATGAATATGTAGTTGTTTTTTTAACTAGGAGAAACGCTCTATTTTACCTGTAAAAAGTTCAAATGTTCTGAGGTTTTTAGTATAGCGTTTATATGCTTTAACTTTCTCAGCCAGTATTGTATACTTTATAAAGAAATAAGTCGATTTCAGATTTTACAGAACGTTTCATTTCAGAATCGTACTAGGGGAGACCGGGGCTGGATAACTCACCTTTTGAATTTTTAAATACAAGTCATATGTGAACATCAAGATAAAAAAATCTCTATACCAACATAAACGCCCCCAAGTGGCACAGCGGTATGTCTGCGGACTTACAACGCTACAAACCGGGCTTTGATACCCGTGGTAGGCAGAGCCCAGATAGCCCATTGTGTAGCTTTGTGCTTAATTCCAAACAAACAAAAACCAGCATAAACTAGACATATTTTTCTCTTACATAGCAAAAAACAAATCTCTTACCGCTTTTATAATTTTCTCAGAAATGAACATAATTGAAGAAGGTGTACTGTGTATCAATCTACCTCGAGTAAGGGGCAAGTTAATACACAGGGTAATGTAATGAGGGACTTGCAACAATTTTAATTAATTTTTGTAAATTTTTTTCCAATACTTAAAGATTATTTCAAAATAACCAAAATGAATTTAAACATTTTTGTAATATATCTATTTTTGGCTTAAGAGCATAAAAAATGCGTGCAAATTTCTCAATGGGTGCTGGTTAACACGCGTGAAATGTATCAACGTGCCCCAAGTCGCCATTTTGCTAGAAATGACTTGTGCGTGCTGTCCCAGTCATAGTTATCAAACAAATTTATGTACCATTATATAACCGAAATAATACATTTTTAAATAATGCGTAACTTAAATTATCTTGACAAAGTATTTAATATAACATAACAAATTTATTCAGTAGAAATATTTACTTATGTATGTGAAAATATCAGTTTTTACTCCTGCACACAACAGAGGCTTCCGATCACATTGAAACTACAACAGCAAGTGACGCATGTTTGGATGTGTTAGTGGTCATGATATCACGGCTACCAACTTCAGCATATGACAGTTATTGACATTGTGTTACACCATCCCTGTAGCCAACCAGCCCCAGGTCGTCCCTATCTGTCTGTGGCACTCTTCAATAAAATGAAGATTTGTTTGTTCAGAATTTTGTGCAAAGCTACACGAGGGCTATCTGCGCTAGCCGTTCCCAATTTAGCAGTGCAAAACTAGAGGGAAGGTAGCTAGTCAAAAACCACCCACCACCAATTCTTTGGCTACCATTTTACCAACGAATAGTGGGATTGACTTACATTATAACGCCCCCACGGCTGAAAGAACGTGCATATTCGGAGTGACAGGGATTCGAACCCGAGACCTTCACAGTGCGCGTCAAGTATCCTTACCACCAGGCCATTAAAATAAAGGGTTTGTTGAACATATTCATAGTGGTATACTATTTTTAACTTACTCAAAGCTTTTAATTCCAATTTTAAAGCAAAAATTTACCTCCTGCGAAGAGTATGCTTCAACACAGAGAGTTTGGGGGTCATTATTGTTACAGTTATTATGAGAACTTTAAAATATGTGGTACATATTTACAGAAAAGTGTTTCTAAGAAACATCATTAGCTTACTTCAGCAGGAAACGCGTATCCACCGATCATATGTTCTGAGCCTCTGTTGTCTTCTCGTCCGTAATGGATGTGGATTTGTTGTAAACGGTACTTGTATGACAGTGGACCACCGGTGACATTAACTACGGCTACTTCGGGGGTCGTGTCGGCGTCAAATATAATGCTGTGGCCAGTATTGCGGATGGTCCCGCTCACCTATCAAGAACAAAAAAAAAAAAGACAATTTGTTCAACTATTAGACGCAACACATATAATCCATCAATTGGAGTCGCAAATCCTTTGTAAACAACACATGCAACACCAATTGGAGTCGCAATCCTTTGCAAGCAACACATCAATTGGAGTCCCAATCCTTTGCAATTAACACATACAATTCATGTAAATGGAGTCGCAATGATATTAAGATTTTTAACAATTGTGAAAATTTGCTCATTATTTCTGTCATATATGTAATCCGGAATTAATATATGTTTCTAGGGAAAATGAGGATACTTTGAGTCTTTAATGCAAGAAGTTTGAGAGGATATTTTGAGGCTTTAATGCAATAAGTTTGAGAATATTCTTTGAGTCTTTAATAAAAGAAGTTTGAGAGTATACTCCTAATTTTTCATTTATTTTTGCACAGTACACGATAATTGAACACGTGTGTTATGTTTTTGTTGAGTTACGTACTATTCTCTGCGATTTTGTTGGCTGACAAATTATTATGGCTAATACAACTCGTTTTCCTCCGTTATTGTTGACACATACTGTTAACGTATTACACTATTTTTTTTATAGATTCACACGTAATGACACTTTCACACTACTTTGTAGTTGTTATTGATTTGAATATTAATTAATACAATTCTGGCATTACTCTGCTTTTGTTAGGGATTCGCTCTATGATATAGTTTTTACACATTTTACATATTCTCTAGGTTTTTATGGTTTTGCGTGATATGAGCATTTTATGCCTTCCGGGTTTTAGTTGATTTGTATGTTTACACCTACTTCAGTTTTAATAACACTATCTAGTTGCCCCCCAGTTGCACAGCGGTGTGTCCGCGGACCTACGACGCTAGAAACCGGGTTTCGATACCCGTGGTATGCAGCGCACAGATAGTCCATTGTGTAGCTTTGTGCTTAACTTCAAACAAACAAATACTATCTAGTTTTTAACTGATTTGCGGATTATGTTAAGTTTCACAGTTCCCTAGGTTTTTATAGATTTGGATATTTTGTGAGATTTATTCCTTCCTGGGTTTTTTTCTTGGTTTACATATTATGACAATTTGTATATCACCATATGTTTATATTAATTTGTATATTTTGACAGATTTTATTCCTCTCTAGGGTTTTTTTTTCGTTTATGTATTATGACGTAGTTTCGCACTATGGCAAGAAGAGTTTTTTCTGTTGAATTTCTTATTCAATATTTTAGTTGTTTAGAGTTAACCTAAAAATGTCGCTCTAAAAAGTGGGATATTTGACAAAATCAAATGGTTGCTTCGTCCGTTTTCTAGAACATCTTTACGTTATCTGCTCAACAGTAGTTCATTTTTCATTGGGAAACTTTTAAACACATCTCTCATTCGGAGTTTGTTGTAGGGCAAGATATTGTTATCATACTAGTATATATATGCTTGTTATGTACCGTAACTTCAACAGTTACAAAGAAACAACTAGCGCTAAAAGTTTTAACTGTTTAGAATTTTTAATGTTCTTGGAGACGACTGGTAAGCAATACATAACCGATTACTCCATGTCAAAAAAAAGAACTTATTCAAGTCATAATACTGAAAGGTTGGTTGAAATAACCCATTATTTTATCTACAATAATGGAATGTTGTTATATTTGACTCAAAGAAATAAATGTTGCTCATAATATACAAAATAAAATAATCGACAATGACATTTAGTTCATAAAGAACCAGAAGACCTCAGTTTCACACACTATCAACAAAAAAATGCTCTAACTGAAAGATTTAGAAGATACAGCTGTTGTATGAGATGAGGGGGAAAAATGTTGTAAACCTGGATAAGATAAAGATGTGCTTTAGATATACAAATAAAAATAGAACGAAAATTTGCGCTAGGTGATTAACTATATAGAGAGAAAATGGTAGTTTTTACTTCTGCTAAAATGGGAAACTAAGTCTGAAAAGATTGTCAGGAATTATTTGAATGGTGTTCTTAATGGCTTTTCCTTCCGTTAGTTACACTACAGAGATTCCAGTAGAAATACTGCTAACAATTAATTTCTCCAAACTGGACATAAAACCTCATTGTCCGTTAGAGTTGCTGCCATTTGATTCACATATTCCAGCTAAGAGAAACGGTGTCGTTTATAGGCTTGATTCATACTAAAAAGAGTTTATTTTTTTACATTTTATGTCACAGTTACACAATGTAGTTTTGTGTATAAGGTTTGTAAAGTGACGATTATTAGACAAAAATAGCTTCTGTACTTTTTAAGGATGTTTAAAAAACTATAAGAGAGAATGGTTTGTTTTGTTTGTTTTGAATTTCGGGCAAAGTTACACGAGGGCTATCTGCACTAGCCGTCCCTAATTTAGCAGTGTAAGACTAGAAGGAAGGCAGCTTGTCATCACCACCCACCACCAACTCTTGGGCTACACTTTTACCAACGCATAGTGAGATTGAGCGTCACATTATAACGCCTTCACGGCTGAAAGGGCGAACATGTTTGGTGTGACGGGGATTCGAACCCGCGACCCCCAGATTGCGAGATTAAATCATAAAAAAAGTTGGGCACGGGGCTAGCAACTCCACCCCGTGAAAACCAACCTGCTACAAGTAACTGCAACAACAATTTTCCGTTGGTGAGGTGTTGTTACGGCTCTATGCTCCACTGGGAGTTTACAGGAATAAAAAAAAAATGCACATTGTAAACATAAATTTGTAAGTATTTAAATATGTGTACCTACAAAGAGTAGCTGTCAATTTATTAATTAATGGGAACAATAGGTATTGATCAATGGCTCAACTACAATATATGCACTCTATTCTTAATGCAGCAAACACATGTGCGTTAAAAAACATTCTTAAGAAAGTTCCACGAATATTTTAAGCCTCCGACAACTAAGTAAAGAGCTGTACTTCACTTTGCATGATTGTGGAGCTTTATATCACATATGTTATGGAAATTCGGTTTAAGTCCAGTGATCGATTTTACTTTCAAAATTGTTCTCATTAAACTAATAACGCTTCCTGTGAGAGGGATTATTACTTTTTCTGGCAGCAAACAGTTCGAACCCCAGAAAAATTCGTCAATTTGTTTACCAAATCTGGACAAGAATTTTTATAAAAACAATAATAAGCACTTATGTTCTAAATCATTTCCAGTTACATTAATGACTTTTCACACATATATTTCATAATTATAAGATTGTTGCTCTAGTCATCCGAGA